TATTTTAAGTAGTTTGGTAGACAAATCAATTAATTAAAAAAATTAATTGATACATTTTAATTTTTAAGACTATTTTAGGAGATTAGGTTCAATTTTTGGCACTACGGGCTTGTTTATAGCCCCTGATATTACTGCATTACTATTTATTTCTATATATGAGATAAGCACCTTTAGAGTCTTAACATTTTTATATTCTTTTAGTCCACCACCAGTAAGATAGATGACAACTTTGTTATTGTTCTAATTTATCAATCCTCAGATTGAAGCCACCGTTAGTCTATAATTTTATCCACTTCTATTATAGCGATATCGTTATCAAAAACTAAATAACAACTTTTATACATTGCTTTTCAGCATGTTTGATGCTGTTCTGCGCCGTCAAATGTCCACAACTGGTACAAAATTTTCTATTTTCCGAGCTACAACATGAAAATATAAACCAACGTCTTAGCGCTGTTCTTAGGTAAACTTTAAAATTAAATCGTAGATATGAAGACCAAAATAGTATGGCCTTCTCTTTAGTCGCAGTCTCCTTTAGCCTTATAGTGTTTGTTCGGCCTCGTTTTCGCAACTTTGTCGGAGCGTCAGGAAAACCTTGTGGATCGTATCTAGTCCTTTATCCTGAGCAATTGTATTTGTGATTTCCAGCATCGGACCATTGACTTGATACAAGTCCGAACGTTTATTCGACATCGTCACTGAGAGGCACTATCGTTACACAGAGTTACAACTTTTCAAAGTGATAAGTGAAGGCAATCCCCTTAACTAATTTTGTGTTCAACCCCACTGGCTTCACTCCTCGCCCCTATTTTTTATTCTACTTTTTAGTGTTGCATCTCTTTCTCTCTACCACACTTCATATGGCCCATTTACATATTCACACAATTTTGTGCTATAGTTCCCTCCAATGTCGTCTAAGAGTATGTCACTACAAGTGGGTTTAGTTAAGCGTAATCATCTGAAACACAGGTGCCGTTTGAAGAGCTCATGACCTACATTCTGCCCCCTTATCTCCTACTTGCTTGACAATTGGTTATTGCTACACATCGCAATCATTGCATGGTTGTCTAAAATCTGTCTCGAAACCCTACTCACGAATAAAATCTGACTGCCTAAGAGCCTTCAATCCCCGTCACCGATTAAGCCATATTCGAGGATTTGGACCTGATGATTCTAATGCCCATGCCAGTGTCTGGGATTCTTCCTCATCTCCGCTCAAATTGTGTTTTATTCTTTGGGGTCCTGTGTCCGGCTTAAGTCATAACCGCTGGTGTGAAACTGCACCGTTTCCCTTTTTACTCTCACTGAATTGCGAAACACACCATCTTCTATTTCTTCAAGTTGATTTTCCCATATAATCCTAGTGTATTAAAATGTTCCTTTGTGTTGGCTGGTATCCCCCGTAGTCAAGCTTTTTTACTTTGTGTTATCGATGGCGCCTCACACTGTCGATTCCGGTGAAATGTTTTGGAATGTATCTAGTCAATGGTCCGATGCCGGAAATCATGAATGCTTTGGCAGGTGGCATAGGGCTAGATACGCTTAACCATGAAGCACGGGCCAAGATAGTTTCACTTTTTATTGTTGCAAAATATAACGAGCAAGCGGTGACTATTTACTTTTTGCATTAATCTAATTATTTCAAGGGTTTGAAGCACGACCCTTTTCAGTAAACTAATAAAAATGCATTATTAAATTACACTAGTGCTTTGTGCACTACGGCACAGCTTTCAATCTCAAGATTTTGCCTTTCAGGATATTAATAATATAGCAATATTTCACGTGCTTAAAAACAGACTTTAAACTATGACATATACTTAAATATAAATATAAATATATATATATATATATATGCACTATAATACGCATTAATTTAGCTGTATGCTCCCACACGGCTTGTAATAAGTAAAGAAATTTCTATAATATATCTGGTATTACTTTAACTCTGCCTCCTATTTTCTCCATTAGAAATAGCTATTTGGTTAATATGAAGCGTAATCGGGTTTTCATGTAAAATTCTCGCGATAACCCTAGGTCAAGAAGTCGGATCACCGGCCTGTGTGATAAATAAATAAATATATATATATATATATGGGTATATTTAGATATAGATGGAAATAGGATGGTTTGGTTTTTTTTCTTACACCCTAGAATGTGTGCGTGTGTGTTAATATCTGTACGCAATGCAGCCTATAATTCAGAGTAATTAGGAGAAAGCCTAACATCAGCCTCTGGTCATCAAGGCTTAATGACCCAAGGCAAAGCATGGCCGAAATTGCGTTAATCCGTAAGTAACCCTGGTTATATTGGTTAGATATAAGCCTGTACGCATGAAAGTCAAATTACAGAACCATCGGTCAGAACCCGTTAATCTTGGATCATTAAGGTTTAATAACCCAAGGAAAAGCATGATGGGGATTTAATAATGGGCTTAATATGCTTGTTGAACGAATATTAATTTAGCTAGAACCATCATTCAGCCGATAAGTTGAGCTTCCTTCTTTTGGACTGCGTCTCTCCCTCAATATTTTAACCAAACATAACTAATTATTACTCAACTTCCTACCGCCATTCCTCGCACTCAATGCATTCTATAATCTATTCGTTTCAAAGGACTCTCTCATCTTGCGTTTCCTAGCAGACATACCATGATCAGCGAACCATTCTATTTCATGTTTAGTATCCAATCTACGCTAGGCCACTTCTAACCGTATGCCTTTACAAGTATTTCTCTAGTCTGCTAATCTTTGGCGGATAGGCAGACAGGTCTCACTAACATATATTCGCTCACAGAGGCACACAATCTTGTGACAACCGGACCTTGACAAGTTGTCGTATTTCCCTCTAAAAGGAGGCATAATCAAAGAAAGGAGCAGGTTTTATTTGAAAACGGTTTGTATTCCTCACTTCATCACTAGTTCGCTAGCTTCTTAGAAAGGAGATACGACGGCAAGAATAAGACATGAGAAAAGGCCTCAGCATGTCTATTTTTTACTAAATGGTTACTATCTGAAATTTTATTCCTCAATACAGAGGTATTATTATCGGTTAGGAAGAATTGTTTTAGTCTTCTCAACAATTCGCTCAGATGCTTTCAATTCTCAAGCCTCATACTCCTAATAATCATCGATTTTAATATTACAACCTGAGTTTAGTATCTCTTGCTTAAAATAAAATTGAGATTAAAGCAAGCATATGCTGGTTTTCTATAGGTATATCTGTCTAAATTGCCATCTTCTCTGATAACGTTGCATCAAATAAGGGTAATCTTTTATACTCTTTGAATTCCATTGTAAACATGATAGTTATTTCACGCTAGTTATTTGAAAGTATGAAACTATCTAAACTGTCTTTACCATCCTGCAAAAAGACAAAATAATTATTAATATATCTAAGAAACCATTTAGGATTCGCAATTGTGCCTTGAATTTGCTAGCATGTTAAGGACAGTTTAGATAGCTTCCTACTTTCAATAAACCAGCGTGAAAGAACTATTATGTTTACGCTGGAATCCAAAGAGTATAAAAGATTACCTTTATTTGATATTATGTTACCAGGGAAGATGATAAGTTAGGCAGGGATGTTTATAGAAAACCAGCATATGTTCGTTCTACTCTTAATTTTCTTTTAAGCAATAGTTACTAAACTCAAGTTGCAATTTAAAAATCTATGACAATTAGGAATATGAGGCTTAAGGACGGAAATCATCTGACCAAAGAGTAAGCAAAGTCACAGCTATTTTTATGACCTTTTTTAACTTTTTCTTTGGAGGTTTCGTGGCCTATGGTCATCTCGTTACTATGTCTGGTCTCGTCTAGAAGAGGGTGCTGCTAATCAGCTAAAGCTACCCCCACCATCCATCGAATTTGTATTGCCTTCGCCAACACTTGGCCACCCTAGATTCGAAGTACCAGATCCCGGTTGGCAAACACGCAAGGGTACCTCTGCGGAGGAAGTGCAGCTGAAACAGAATGAAGCTACCGTATGTTATTTGGGCTATTAATATAGCATGTCTTTATTTTTGTGCCACCGTCCTAGTTTACGGCAGTGACAGTGTTATTTCTAAATCCATTAAAAATATATGTCTATTCAGTTTGTTTTCTTAAAATCAACGAACAGTATTCCTATGCGAGTATGGTTAATATATTGCGGTTAAAATCGACTTTTTATTATAAATTTAGGTTGTGGTATAAATAGTATAGAGAATTGTAACTGGAAAAATGTAATGTATTTCTTTAATTAGGGGTTTCATTTGTAAGCCTTTGTTTATCCAGATTTCTCCCTACAATAATTTAGTATCAAGAGCTTTTGAAGGCCACGATGTGGCTTTACGGCAAATTTAAAAGTATTTTTATATTGTATTTTGCAACTCTCAATTTTCGTTATATTGAGTAATGATTCTGTAAAAGGTAAGAACATATTTTGTTGACATTTTAATTGAACTCGAATTTATATTGAGATTTTGCAATGACACTTTAATTTTCTAAATCGCACTTTGCTAATTAGTAACACAAGCATAAATTATCCTTTAACTACCTAATCTGCCAATAAATCTAATCTCATTACATTTTTATAACATGCTAAATTATTGCTATTGATGTTACTTTAAGCATCCAGGATATTTTTTTAAGGGAGATCTTATACATAAAATATTTGTATATTAAAGCTACTGAAAGCGTCATTGACCAATGATTTAGCGATGCTTTATATGTTTCATCTGATTACTTTTTCACAAATCTTTTTCCTTCAGGCAGTTTGCAAAATAATAAATAACTATAATTATATGATAGTTTCTTATCTCATAGTTCCAGTTATATATAGGGGATTTCCAATAGTACATGCAAGCCAACCCTTAAAGGAAAAATAAATACGTGGTGTGTGTTCCTAAATTGTATGCCTTTGCGCCGAATGAAGCACAGCAAACAATATGTTTACTTAATGCTGCTTTTATTGTTTATGCATATTATACTTAAAAATATATAAACACTTCTGCTAAATTATTTATTTTTATTTGATAATTTTCATACCG